TGGATAGTAAATAAAATGTCTATATTTGTGTTGTAGTCATGGCGACCCCTGGTTCCTATCGCCACCACTGTAAAGACATCTGAACTATTTCACACCAAACCACTCTGAATCTCTCTGAATGACTTATATCTCAATTAATTATGTGCAAATTTTGAAAAAGTGATGGAATTCCCCTTAGAAGCCCAGAAAAGCTTTACACTATATGTTGGAAAGTTGCTGTGAGGACTTGATTGAGCATTAGTGAGGTCAGGTACTGATGTTGGATCGTCAGTTCTGGATCAATAATCATCCCAAAGGTACTGGATGGAGCTCCATCACTCCAGAGAACACAGTTCCACTGCTCCACAGCCCAATGCTGGGGGGCTTTATACCCCTCTAGCCCACGCTTGGCATTGGACATGGAGACCTTAGGCCTGAAAGCTTATAGTCACATAAGGTGCTCAGGATGCTGGTGATAAAGACTGTATCGTTCTGCTATTTTTCATGAGAATGTTAGAGTTTCTGAATCAGGAGGTACAGAGGGAGGGAGATCTGAGGCCTTACAGGGTGATGCTAATGTTCCTCCTCAGATACAACAGCCTCAAAATAAAGGCAGGAAAATAACAGGCCTGAATGCTCCACGTACTGCACTGTGTTATGGCCACTGTGAAATGGGTCTAGGGGATTTAAAAAGAGGTCGTACATAAAAAAGGCCAAAGCCAAAACCCAACAGCCAGACCAAGATAACATGAACCCAGATAAGATGGCAAAAAATCAACACTGATTTCTTTCGTTAACCAACTGCCACTTCAGCTGCCATGCTTTAAATGCAATACAGTAAGATAGAACAGGAAAGAGGTCAAGTTATTTATCACTGCTGTCAGAACAAAACCTCATATCTCCAGAATGGAAACTTTACAGGAGAAGGAAAAAACATGCTTTACTCTTAATGTAAGTCAATGGAACCAGACCTCTTTCCAAGTCATTTTGGGTCGTTTCTTTTGGTCCATTCATCATGAAATTTACACACAATGTAAAGGGAAACAGGCATTTTCAAATTATGCCAAAAACTGAAAAACGACAAAAATGGAGATGTGAGGTTTTGTTATGTTCTACTGAGTAGAAGCAATACAGTTAGATATAATAAGAGGAAGAAAACAGCTTTAGGGAAGATCTAACAACCAACCAACAAGAAACAGAGCCAAACTAACTTACACTGGATTTAACAGAGCAAGACCGCAGAAAAAAACCTCTTAAAAGAGGCGCAAACTTATGCAATAGTTGTGATGATGAATTAAGAATGTGTTGTTCACTTTGCAAATGTCAAGAAACGTTTAAAAATAAGGTGGTAAACAAATACAAAACTGCTGCATGATCATTATCGTGTATGAAATGATTGAAACGTCTTGTTTTTGCTTCTGTTTTGGTTTTGTCTTTGTATTGTGCAAACAAAGTACTGATAGGATTGTCTATTAGAATATATGAGGTAAGAAGGGAAGGCAAAATAAGCTTCAGCCTACAGCATTATGGTCAATATTTTTTATTTTGTTTGTCTTTTCTATTAATTTAAGACTTTATTTATTCATTTATTTTGGAAAATTATAAACAAGGACAAATAAAATTCTACTGAGGGTCGAAAAACTGTCATATAAAAGCCATAACTGGCTCAGTTTCATGCACTTCAGTGCAGATTTGAGGGATTTAAACTTCAAATGCTGACAATTTTCTTAAACATTATAATTATTGGGTTTTACAAGTTCTAGAATTAGATGATAAAAGTAAATATGCAAATAAATAAATTAATTAATAATTTAAAAACAAAAAAATGCCAGGCTGAAAACAGTTCATTAGTGGGCCTAGATTGGCAGTTAGCAAAAAAGACCAGTGAAAGTAAACAAGTGACATTGCACTCTTTAAAAAGATGGTTCTTCAAAGGTTCTTTGGCTCTATCTAGAACCATAAGCACTCAGAGAACCATTTGCATGTTTAAACATTTTTGCGTGGTGAAATGGTTCTTCAGATTGATGGAGAATGTGTTGCATATGGTTCTATATAGTAAGGTTGAAACCTTTCATTGCAACCTTGTTACAATGAAAGGAACTTTTGGTGCTATATAGAACCATAATCAAAAGGTTTCTATATAGAACCATACACAATACATTCTCCATCAAACTGAAGAACCATTTCACCACGCAAAAAAGAAACCTTTTGATTATGGTTCTATGTAGCACCAAAAGGTCCTTTCGTTGTAACAAGGTTTCAGCCTTTCTATATAGAACCATATGCAACACGTTCTCCATCAATCTGAAGAACCATTTCACTGTGCAAAGAACCAATGCAAACAGATATATATACAACCATAGAGATACAGAACCGCTGTCTTTACTAAAGAACCCTGGAAGAGCCTCCTTTTCTAAGAGGGTGGAGAAAGAGCAACAATAATGATTTTATGGCCAAACGGTTCTCCAATGGTTCTTTAGCAGAAGCAGTGGTTATATGATAGAACCATAACATCTCAAAGAGCCAACTGAAGGCTTCAGTGGTTACATGGTCCTCCTCCATGATGGAGAACATCTTGCTTACGGTTCTTCAACAAACCTTTCAAAAGGTATATCTCTATATAGCTGCTGTTGCAAGTCAAAGAACCCTTTTAGAACAAAACTGTTCCTCAAGGACACTTTAGTAAAGATGGTGGTTTCATATGGAACTGTAAACACACCTAAAAGAATGATGGAATGAATGATGGAAACCTTGAGTGGTTCTTTTTAAAAAGGTCTGCTCTTCAAGGGTTTTTGGAAAGAAAATGGTTCTATATAGAACCACGAACACTCCAGAAACCCTTTGCATGATGAAATGGTTCTCTGCATCCTGAAAGTGTTCTTCAGACTGATGGGAAACGAGCCGCAGATGATTCTATAGAGAACTTTTTTTTAAAAGGGTTCTATGTAGCACCAAAAGGGTTCTACTGATGTTACGAGATGAGCTTGCAACAATAGCAGAACACTGTCCTCACTAAAGAACCCTGAAGAACCATTTGTTTTAAGAGTGTAGAAGCCACTTTGTTAACAAAGACTACAAAGAGTGAGATCATCACAGGACCAGAGCTGCGTCAGCTCACAGCGGGAAACCTGAACCACTCTGACTTCGTTTTCTGCCTTTATTCTCCAAAAAAGAGTTTTGTTTTTGCTCCTTTTTTCCTGACAGAATCTCAGCGCGGGAAACGTGTCAGAGCGCGCGACTCACACAGAGCTCAAGGCGGGAAAGTTTATTTTTTTAATTTTCCTTTTTTTCATCGACGCGGAGTGAAAATTAGCACAAAGTTTGTCTTAATTTACCCGTCAAATATTAAACCAGCCGTAAATATTTCTGTTAAGGGCGAATTAATGGTTTGTTTATGTCGGCGTGTTATGAAGGCGTGATGATTTTGTGATATAAAAGTCCTTTTAATTATTTTTTTTCTGGGTTTCGGCCGCACGATATATTTTCTTTTTTTAAACTACAGCTTTTCGACTTAGACACATTAACCAAAGGAGATTTTAATCGATTATAACTGTCTATTAATTTAAAATATTTTATGCAATTTTATTTTGAAAAGTTTAGCCAGCCGAACAATATTCAAATGAATAAATAAATGAACATGTTAAGGCATTTAAAACGCTTGTTCTGTCCTATTAAGGCTAGTATTTTTAATATTGACGCTGTTAAAGGAAATTAATAACAGTTTGTTGTCCACTTGTGTGAATCCGTCACTCACTCTCCGCGACTTGGCGAATGAACTATGAACTGCGTGTGCCGAGAGCGCCATCTGGCGGAGGACAGCAGAGCGGCCGTACGGGTTTACGGCTCCACAGCAGAGCGACTCTGTGCTGATCAATTTACTGATTATCTCCTCTCAAAACACCTGAATCAAACCCTCAACACACCATCAGAACATTTACCAGGCTAAAACCACTATAAACGCCCTCCAGCGCCAACAGCGACGTTTCACCACAGTAGTAAATTAACCAGCACCGAACAGCACCGAACAGCACTAACAACAACGTTTTATTCACTTTTCGCTCCTTTTATAAGTTAATAATTAGTTCTATTTTAGTGTCCTATAAGTCTTGCATGTTGTCCAAAAGAAGAACTGACCATGCAAACTAAACAAAACAGCAAATAAAAACTTGCTGGTGATGCTGCGTCTGAGAACAAATGACGCTCCTCTACATTTTGAGTATAAAACAATTAAAGCAAACAAATATATGCTAATAAAGAAGCCCATACTGGCATGTATGTATATCATATATAATATTTAATATATATTGATATTGATATATATAGATATTGATATGTAGCGTATATGCATATTCTATATTACATATATATATATATATATATATATATATATATATATATATAGATAGATAGATAGAAATATATACACACATTCAAACATATACACACACACACGTATATGTACACTATCTTCCTTAAGAAGATGGTTCTTAAAGGGTTCTCTAGTAAAGAAAATGGTTCTATATAGCACCAAAAAGCGTTCTGCTATTGTAACGCATGTATACAATAGCAGAACCCTTTCTGGTGCTATATAGGACCATTTTCAGAAGGGTTCTACCGAGAACCATATACCACACAATCTCCATCAGTCTGAAGAACCCTTTCGCCATGCAGAGAACCATTCAAGCATGCAAAGGGTTCTGAGCGTTCATGGTTCCGTGTAGAGCCACTGTCTTTCCTAGAGAACCCTTGAAGAACCTTCTTCTTTAAGGCTGCATGCAGAAGTTTCCTGCTGTTAATAAACAGAGCGCGTGCAGCGCAACAGAGCCGCCTGCATTCCCGCAGCGTCTCGCGCCACCCGACTCGCGAGCGAAATTAAAGTTTCAGTCCGTCTGCCTCGCGCTCTTCTCCCCTTTCGTTCCTTCCGAGCGCGCGCGCGCCAGCCTCCCTCTCCCCGTCTCCGGTCACCCAAACTCCAGCCGCGCGCGTAAAGAGAGAGAGAGAGCCCAAAGTGCCAAACTCACCTGGAAAGAACTGCCCGGAGGTACAGTCCAGCGCGTGCAGAAGGAGGAGAAGCGGGGTCAGCGCGTGGCGGTACTTCCTTTGATCCATTCTTGCCGGTGACTGTTTCACATGCTCGCCGCCCGTGCGCGCGCCTACGGGTTCCTCGCATCGGTGAGAGCTCGCGCTGAAAGCGTGCGCTGCTCTCCTGCTGCCGCTGTTCGCCTCGCGCGGGCACTGATACGAGCGCACTTCACGCACAGAGTGCAGAGGAGCGCGAGCGCGCGGACGGGAGAGGAGAGGAGCCGCTGTCCGCCCTCCTTCACTTCACCGGGTCCTAAAGCCGACCCTCCACACTGCGCGCGCGTTCACACACTGATCCGCAGCGTACCGCGCGCGCTGGAGACTGAGAGTCAGTATCTCTCTCTCTCTCTCTCTCGTACCGCGCGCGCTGGAGTCAGTCAGTTTCTCTCTCTCTGCTCTTCTTCTCAGTCTCTCTCTCTTTCTATTCATCTATTTATTTCTCTCTCTCTCCTCTTCCTCCTTCCTCACCCCCTCTATCTCTCTACTGTTAGTCACTCCCTCTCTCTCTCTTCTTCTTAGTCTGTCTTTCATTCTTTCTTTATTATTTTTTCTCTTTCTTCTTTCTCTTCCTCTTCCTCTCTTTCTTTCTTGCTCTCTTCTTCCTCTTTCTCTCTCTCATCTTCCTCTTTCACCCCTTCCTCCTTCTCTCTCTCTCTCGATTCCTTTCCTCTATAATCCTCTCTCACTCCCTCTCTTCATCTCTCTTTTCTCTCTTCATCTCTCTTTTCTCTCTCTTCATCTCTCTCTCTTCTCTCTCTTCATCTCTCTTTTCTCTCTTCATCTCTCTCTTTTCTCTCTTCATCTCTCTCTCTTCATCTCTCTCTCTTCATCTCTCTTTTCTCTCTCTTCATCTCTCTCTTTTCTCTCTCTTCATCTCTCTCTCTCTCCCTCTCTCTCTCTCTCTTTGCTGAACTCTCTCTCTCAGTGATCTGGAATGTTCTGCACCTTCCCATTTCTTTGTTCTGAATATTGTCCTGAAGATCAGTGGTAGAACACACAGACGGTGGTTCTCAGTTCTGGTGCTGGAGAACCTCTGCGCTGCACGTCTCAGTGTTGTGCTCTATCACAGCAGCTCTCCCCAGGAAGGGCTTGTTAATTATTTAATCAAGAGTATCAGGTGTGCTGGGTTCCAGCCAGTCTGCCCCGCCCACTCCAGATAATTAACCTCTTCAGACGTCCCGATTGGCCAGATCAGATGCATTAGTGTCAGCAAAGAGGAGCAGCATGTCACACTGTGTTCAGACTGCAGGCGCATCAGATCTGTTTCTGAAATCAGATCTTTCAAGACCTTTAATGAACCAGTTAAAGTCAACAGTGTCAGTGAGGAAAAAACCTTAAGCACCAAAAGGGCTCTTCTGTAGATACAAGGCCAAGTTGTTACGATAGAAGACCCCTTTTTGGTGAAAACATTCTATATAGAACCGTCTATAGCACATTCTCCATCAATCTGAAGAACGTGTTCACCATGCAAAGAACCATTTAATCATGTAAAGCGTTCTTTGATAGTTCATGGTTCTGTATAGAATCATTGTCCTTACTAAAGAACCCTTGAAGAACCATCTTTTTAAATAATTCTTGGTGTGAAACGGTCCGTTCTAGAGAAACTGTCTGATACCTTTAGAAAGGAATTTACAGTATCTTCAATTTAAATCTGATCACATGATCCTTTATCAGGACAGAAGCGAGTGTTGTAGTACTGATACTCTGTGAAAATGCAGTTATGATCTGATATCTTGTTTATGTGAAATACATTGTGTGTGAGAGTCTGACTGCAGACGTACATGGTTAATGTAAAGTACAGTGCAGATCACAGAAGAACGTTTAGTTACATCTGGAACCTTCATTACACTCAACACAGATAATAACTAATACTGATAAATGCATTTTAAAGTATATTTAACAAATACATTTATTGGCCATTTTTATACATTGCAAAATTATATTTAATATAAGAGCAAACAGTGAATGTGTGAAGTTAATCATGTTGAGTTTTTTGTCACGTACTGAGTGAAACAGAGGAAGGAGGGTTAGGAGCTGTGTCCAGAAACCCTGAAAGTTCCTGCTTTATCCTACGGATCCTCCTCCTCTCCTCCAAGACCCGGGAACGAATTCCGAGACATCATCTTACCAGCTGTCCGAACACCAGAGGAGACGAGGGGCTGCTTAAAAACCCACCGAAGGGGCTTCCAGTGGAGGATACATGAGAGTACGCTACCCAGGAAGACTCACTTACAGATTTTAGAGTGACATCACTGCAGACATGTTATATGTTATGTTAGGTGTGTTACAGGTGTGGTGATCTTAGGTTAGGTGTGTTACAGGTGTGGTGATCTTAGGTTAGGTGTGTTACAGGTGTGGTTATGTTATGTTAGTTATGTTATAGGAGTTGTTATGTTAGGTGTGTTACAGGTGTGGTTATGTTAGGTATGTCACAGGTGTGGTTATGTTCGGTTAGGTATGTTACAGGTGTAGTTAGGTAGGGTATGATACAGATGTAGTTAGGTTAGGTATGTTGCAGGTGTGGTTATGTTAAGTTAGGAATGTTGCAGGTGTAGTTAGGTAGGTTATGTTACAGGTGTGGTTATTTGAGGTTAGATGGGTTACAGGTGTGGTTATGTTAGGTTAGGTATGTTACAGGTGTGGTTATGTTAGGTTAGATATTTTATAGGTGTTGTTATGGTAGGTAAGGTATGTTACAGGTATAGTTATGTTAGGTTAATTGTGTTACAGATGTGGTTAGATTAGATATGTTACAGGTGTGGTTATGTTAGGTAAGGTGTGTTGCAGGTGTGGTTATGTTAGGTAAGGTATGCCACAGGTGTGGTTATGTTAGGTTAGATATGTTACAGGTGTGGTTATGTTAGGTAAGGTGTGTTGCAGGTGTGGTTATGTTAGGTAAGGTATGCCACAGGTGTGGTTATGTTAGGTAAGGTGTGTTGCAGGTGTGGTTATGTTAGGTAAGGTGTGTTGCAGGTGTGGTTATGTTAGGTACGGTATGCCACAGGTGTGGTTATGTTAGGTTAGGTATGTTACAGGTGTGGTTATGTTAGGTGTGTTACAGGTGTGGTTATGTTAGGTATGTCACAGGTGTGGTTTTGTACAGGGGTGTTACAGGTGTGGTTAGGTTAGGTATGTTACAGGTGTGGTTATGTTAGGTGTGTTACAGGTGTGGTTTTGTTAGGTGTGTTAAAGGTGTGGTTTTGTTAGGTGTGTTACAGGTGTGGTTATGTTAGGTTAGGTGTGGTTATGTTAGGTTAGGTATGTTACAGGTGTAGGTAGGTAGGGTATGATACAGATGTAGTTAGGCTAGGTATGTTACAGGTGTGGTTATGTTAGGTTAGGAATGTTGCAGGTGTGGTTTTGTTAGGTGTGTTAAAGGTGTGGTTATTTTAGGTTCAGTGTGTTAGGTTTGGTTATGTTAGGTTAGGTGTGTTACAGGTGTGGTTATGTTAGGTATGTCACAGGTGTGGTTATGTTCAGTTAGGTATGTTACAGGTGTGGTTATGTTAGGTATGTCACAGGTGTGGTTATGTTCAGTTAGGTATGTTACAGGTGTGGTTATGTTAGGTTAGGTATGTTATAGGTGTGGTTATGTTAGGTTAGGTGTGTTACAGGTGTGGTTATGTTAGGTTAGGTGTGTTACAGGTGTGGTTTTGTTAGGTGTGTTACAGGTGTGGTTATGTTTGGTTAGGTGTGTTACAGGTGTGGTTTTGTTGGGTTAGGTGTGTTACAGGTGTGGTTTTGTTAGGTGTGTTACAGGTGTGGTTTTGTTAGGTGTGTTACAGGTGTGGTTATGTTAGGTTAGGTATGTTATAGGTGTGGTTATGTTAGGTTAGGTGTGTTACAGGTGTGGTTTTGTTAGGTGTGTTACAGGTGTGGTTATGTTAGGTTAGGTATGTTATAGGTGTGGTTATGTTAGGTTAGGTGTGTTACAGGTGTGGTTATGTTGGGTGAGTTGTGTTACAGGTGTGGTTATGTTAGGTATGTCACAGGTATGGTTATGTTCGGTTAGGTATGTTACAGGTGTGGTTATGTTAGGTGTGTTACAGGTGTGGTTTTGTACAGGGGTGTTACAGGTGTGGTTATGTTGGGTTAGGTGTGTTACAGGTGTGGTTGTAGTAGGTTAGGTGTGTTACAGTGTGGTTGTGTTAGGTTAGGTGTGTTACAGGTGTGGTTGTAGTAGGTTAGGTGTGTTACAGTGTGGTTGTGTTAGGTTAGGTGTGTTACAGGTGTGGTTATGTTGGGTTAAGTGTGTTACAGGTGTGGTTGTGTTAGGTTAGGTGTGTTACAGTGTGGTTATGTTAGTGTATTTTGTGTTTGGTATAAAATAAAATTAAAAACATGGAGTACAGATTCAGACAAACATTAATAGGTGGGCTCTATTTAGCAGCTTAGGCCATGCTTTCAAGTGAACGCTGTGATTGGCTCATTCCCTCAACAGTCAACATCAAATTTAATGATGTTTAAAGGAACCAGCTGTCCCATTTTCCCAACTTCTGCTCGTTCTTTCCTTTCCTCCGGCTCCTCTCCTCGGTCCCTTCATGTTTTTCCAGGGTAGGAGAGGGGCAGAAGTGAGGAGGAGGACAGGAGCAGCAGCAAAAGTTCCTGGACGAGGCCAAAGTAAATATGAGAGGAGAGGACCTCCCTGAATGCGCAGATTTCAGTTTCAGTGTTTTATAGCCTGCTCTAATTTATGAGTTCATTATTTAGTGATGTGGAAATCAATGGCTCATTAATACTGAAAGGTGCCCCCTCATCGCTCCCTCTGCAGCCTCACTCAAACCTACATCAGTCAATGAGCCTTCACCACTCACAGCGACTCCTCTGTCCAAATTAGCCCCATCTCCTCTGATTCCCACTGATGTTGTGTGAAAGTTGTGCTTTTTGTGTTGCTGACGTGTGTATTTAAGGGGGGGGGGTGCAAACAAATGAGTGGATGCCATGCACACTAAACTACACTACACGTCCAGAAGTTGGCAGATTTCATCTGGAATGAAGGGTATTAATGAGGCCTTTGCTGCAGTAACAGCCTCTACTCTTCTGGAAAGGCTTCTAGACATAGAACATTACTGTGAGG